TTTACAATGATGTGTGTTTTTTTTTTAATTTTTAATTTTTTTTTAAATTTTTTTAAATTTTTTTTTATTTTTGTGTCTGTCATCACATTTTAGGACAGTAAAAAAGCTTGGATTTTCTTCAACAGTAGCTTTTCTGATAGGAAACTTTGGGGGGTCGAAAGTAAAAATTTCCCAGTAGTTTTCAAAAGTGCCGTGAAAAATAAAAGAAAAATTAAGGAAAAACGGGAATTTTTACTCAAAATCTGTTTTCGAGAAAATCGATTTTGGTTTTTGGTGTAACTCTAAAACAAATGAACGTATATACATGAAATGTTCACTAGTTGTTTATATTTGCATTTTCTATACAAAATAACATTTTCAAAAGTATTTTGATTTATTTTGAACTGTTAAGGGTTAGGTTAAATTTTTATTTTTAAATCTAAGATTTGAAAATGTAATACATGATTTCTTATGAGATTATCTACCTTTATCAAAAAAAAAATGTCTATAAGAAAGTCAAATTAAAATTTTATGAGCGTTTGAAATTCAAATTTTTACAACATTGGATATTCACTCGATTACTCATGTAGCGATTTCCTTATTTTGCTGTAATTCAAAAACGAATGACTGTAGTTGCATGAAAATGTCTCTGAATGTTTAAATTAGCATTTTATATACACCATAAAATTTTGAAAATATTTTGGCTCTTTTTGAGCTGTTTACGGACATTTTCAGTTTTCAATTTTTTAGTTTTTTTTTCTATAAATATCAATTAAGTCTTATCTGTTTTGCCAAAAAGTTTAAAAATTGAATACAAAACTCCTGATATATTGTTACAATAGCAGTTCAAAAACATTGAAAATAATAGGCACAGTTTTTTTTTTATAGCATTTAAAGATCGAATTTTGACAAAATGTATCAAAATCTCGAAAATTATCAATCATTGTAATTAATAAATTATAAAATGTTCAGTTTTTATAGCTAAGGATTGCAAATTTAAAACAAAGGTTCTCATAGATAGTTCATACTGTAACCAAAAAAATCTAAAAAATATATGAACACACTTATTTTTTACAGACATTTTAAATTCAAATTTGGACGAAATTACATATTAAAAAACCTAGAATAACTATTTTAGTTACTTTGTTGTGATTGAATAATATTATTCGTGGGTACTTGAAACTTCTAAAGTGTACTATTGTATATTTATGATAGTATCAGGGTTTGTTGTTGATGTATAACGCGGTATAAGTACTTAATGGATATTGTGATATGATTAATTTAGAATTTATTATAGGTACCTATTATAGGTCAATTTTTTGTTTAATACCATAGATATGTATATAATATGTCTTATACCTAGACTGACATACCGTCTCCGCTCAGAATCGTTTTTCTTATACAATGATATTATATCATTGAATTAAAATTTAATACTATCCATTATACAGTGACAGACTTGTAACCTACTGTACACCAGAGCGACACAAACTTGCCCACCATTTATTAATTTGTTTTCAAAATAAATAATCATTATTTATTATACAATCATAATTGCTCGTTTAGTTAATATAAAAATTATTGGGTTAACACTTACAATATTATAAAACTCTTAAATTATTTTCTTATATGTTTTATAATGTTATATTCTTATTCAATTTACTTTTTGTTCATACTTACTAAAATACAATTTGCATATGAAATTAATTAATAATTAGAATACTTTAAAGTGTGTTGTGCTTACAGTATACCTATTGTATATTGTTGGTACATCAATATTTTAATGTTTACCAAGTATATGAATATTGCATGTACAAAACATGTACACGTATAGTAAAATTATGTCTAAATTTTTTTTATAATGAGTTTAAATTCCCAGGTTCTTTGAATCAAAATTATTTAATGACGATATTAAAAAAAAATGAATCTACTACTTTAAAAAATAGCAAAAAATATCACACGCCAATGTATACCAGTAGAAAATATACTTAAAAAATTAACTCGTTCACGTTCACATTCATTATTTTTTTAAAGTAAAATGTTCCCTTTTAATGAAAAACGAAAGCCTTTAAAACTTGACCATTTAATACAAGATGCCACATAAATAGTCGTAATTAATGAAATTTGAAAAAAAAAGTACAGTGAAAATCCACAAATGTTTTTAAAAAGCGTTATAAACATGAATATTATATTTACAGACATATGAAATACCTACTTAATATAATAGGTTATAATTTTAAATAAATTGAAGCTGAAATAATATAATCTTACGACTAATGATGATATGTCCTGGATATTTAAAAGCTGGATCACTTAAGCTTCAGGGCTACAGGGCTTTATCGGAAATAAAAATAAAAATAGTATATTTATATAAACTAATAATGATTTAATGATTATTGTGGACTAAATGGCACATTTAGTTACTTCTTATAATTTCAAAAAACTATACGTTATAAAAAAAAAATGATTTAAAATGAGAAAAAGATGGGTGTCGCTCTGCTAGTAGATTACAAGTGGGTAATGGATGGTGTTAAATTTGAATTCAATTATATAATATCATTATATATTATATAAGAAAAACGATTCTGAGCGAAAACGGTCAGTCGGCCTAAGATTTTCGGAGGAATTCCAGGAATTCCGATCAACTGTATTTTACGTCAATATTATAACAATAATAGTTTAAACTAACTAATTAATAAAGTCATATAAATATACTTACCTCCTGTTTGAAAATTCGATAAAAGGACGCTGGTTGTTCACGTTAATATGATAGGTACTTCGGTAACAATTCAAAATAATAAATTTTTATTTTATATCACCAAAGAATACGTTGTCTAATGTACGTCACTACACTAAGAGTGCTTGCTTAAAAATGACACTATTATGAAATTTATAAGAATGTAAATTAATTAAAAACGAAACCTAAAAATAAAGTCTAAACGGGATAAATGTAATGACTATACAAAAATAAACACAGCCAATACAAGTAATGACGTAACCGCTGTGTGTTTTAATGTCTAGGATTTATTAAAATATTAGCAGGTTTTACCCAGGCTGTCTGGAACTTTTCGTATATAGTATTCAAAACAAAATATGAAATAGCATGTTGGAAAATGACTACAAAAATAAAATAAAATCAATTATTGCTAAAACAACAAAATATATATTTAAATATTGTCATAGACATTATTACATGATATGAATAATAATAACTACCTATAGGATCTTCATGGCAGATAGCATACGGAAATTCGTAACAATTCCACCGCTCGGAAGCAAGTCCGTTACCCCAGCACTGCCAAGTTTGAAACTGACTATCAAAATTATCCAGTATTATATACTTTATTTTGTACAGTTATGTACAACCAAAATTGTACAAAATAAAGTACATAATATTGTATAATTTAGATAGAAACTGAATATCTAAAAAACTGAATATCTAAAACTTGGCAGTGGTGGGGTAACGGTGCTCGCGGAAGCCGATGCGTGTATACAGCGTGCAGTGCCGGATCAGAGAATGAAAAATTCCACGTTTGTGCCCTCACGAATTCTGACGCGTATTCACTTAATATTATATTACATTTTTTTATAGTTAATAAAATTATTATTCAGTTGAATAGATCCGTTTTTATATTGTATATTTAAACTTAACTTTTGTTATATTAATTAAATATATAACAATTTTACAATAAATTAAAAAAAAATATAGACAAACATTTATTGTTAAATGATTTACTCTGAATTTAAGCTGAACACGTGTCACCTGTAATTGTTAAAACGTGTGATCTTTGTGAAATTGTTCTTCATCCAGAAACTGGTAAGAAAACAAACATTTTCCAACATTTTCCAACATTCTTCTTCATCTTTTATAACATGGACAAGAAAGCTTTTACACCGCCACCGCCACCGCGAGTATATTATATATGTACCGTGGTATATACATTAGTGTATCAAAGCTGCGCGCGCAGCAGACGGCAGTTACGGGAAAACAACAACGCCCGCCTGCGTTAGTATATACGTAGTTCACGCAGTGTAAGCACGTGCTTTTATACATACTGTTAATATTCTTAAATATAAAAATAGTTTATTCAATTTGGGTAGCCGCAAGCATTGTGCACATCAAAAAATTGGAAAGGTCAGTTCAATTTGAATAGCTACCATTTGTACTATTTTAATTCATACTTTAATTTTAATTCATATTTTACCCGTACTATTTTAATTCATCAATGCGAAGTACCGATGTTTATGTATTACATATAAAATATTATAAGATATTATAAAAGTAAACACGTGGAAGAAAATATTTATAGCTGGTGTGTATGTGCGGGCGTGCATATATATACGCGTGCGTGCATGAACGTGTTGATGCGGTCTTTACAAGATATTTGAATAAATTCAAATCAAAATTGTTTGTATCATACTTTAGCTACCATAAACCGATTGTATCAGGTTTAGAAATTGGCGATGATGCTGGCAATGATGATGGTGCAAGAGTTGGTGAAATGATGGATGGAAATTGATTTTTCTGAGTGTACTTTAACTCATTTTTGTAAAGCATTTGTAACAATTTTGACATGTAATTTCTTTTTCTTTTATGTAAAATAACTGAAATAATTATGTATAGTATTTTATATTGATAAATAAAACGATTCGTGGTACATTATTTCCTAAGCATTACAATTTTTTTAAAAACGAAGTGAAATTGTTCTAGTATATAATATACACATACACGCTCACACTTAAGTATAACAGTATATATATACATGTACTCTTCTAGTTTTCACTTCTACCGGCAGTCCCCCGACTGGTTAGGTTATTTTTCATTTTTGGTTGTGTACAACTTATTTATTTTTCTTTTTATTCGTGTCAGGCGCATAATATAACAGTAATAATAATGATATAAGTTGTATAGTATAAAATAAACAAATAAATAAATAAAATTAACTTTGAAATAGACATTACACAATATTAAATAAATAAGGTAAAGTAGATAAAAAAATAAAGGTTCGTTATTGGTGGATTTATATTATTTCTGCCCAGATGCGGGCTACGTTAATTCCTTGGCTTGTGCCTTTGTGAATGTCTTCTGGGGTGCAGGTTTGGAAACAAGCTGTGCATGTGATAATGTGTTGCATTGTCTGTAATTCTCCACATATGCACAAGGTGTCTGTGCTATCTAGCAGTCCCCATTTTATTAGATTGTCTTTCGTTCGTCCAATTCCTGCCCTGAGTCTATTTAGTGTTCGCCAAACCGGCCATGTTTCATTATGACCAGATGGGAGCGACTCGTTCGGCACCCAGCTGGAGGTACTGCTTATCTCATTTCTCCATCTGGTCGTTCTTTCTACTTCAGGATTTGTTGACGAGATGGCTTTTGTATGGTTCATGAAACTCTTCCTGGATTTAAGGCGAGGGAGTTGTGGAGTTATGCCGTACATAGGGTGTCGTGGATCTGCTGTTATTTTCGTTCTCTCTCAGTCTGCTTGCGTGGATCTTCTTATTAGCGGAGGGGCTATTCCTGAAAGTATATATAATTGTTCTACCGGTGTGTTTTTTAGGCAGCCAGTTATGAGTCGGCAGGACTCGTTTAGTGCAACATCGACCTTTTTAGTATGTGATGACCTACCCCATACTGGACTGGCATACTCTCCCGCTGAAAAACATAAGGCTAATGCCGTAGTTCTTATGACGTGGGGATTACAGCCCCATGTGGAACCACTGAGCTTCCGCAATATGCCATTTCTTGTCATTATTTTATGTTTGGTGTTTTCGCAATGGGATCTGTAGGTGAGAGATCGGTCTAGTGTTATTCCGAGATATTTTGGATACTGTGTATTAGTGATTTTCTTCTCATTCCAGTAGACGTTAAGGATACGGTTGGCACATCGATTCCTTAGGTGGAAAGCACATATTTGTGTTTTGCTTGGATTGGGTTTTAGGTAATTGCGTCTATAGTATTTTCCAAGAATGTCCAAAGTAGTCGATAGTTTTTCCTCTACATTTCCAAACTGATCGTGTTGTACGGCGATTGCTGTATCGTCTGCGTAAATATAATGTTTTACGTCGCTATCTGTGGATATTGGTTGATCGTTGGTATAAATGTTAAACATAGTGGGGGCTAGTACGCTTCCTTGAGGGAGACCATTTCTGGAGATTCTCCACTTACTATTCTTGTCTTGATGATTTACGAAAAATCTTCTGTTGCCTAAAAGGGCTTCGAAACTTTTACAAACTCGTAATCCAGGGTAATATCATATAGTTTCTTTAACATTAGTCTGTGGTTCACCGTGTCGTATGCTGCCGTTAGATCTATGAACACCACGCCTGTGACTTTCTTGTTCTCGAAACCGTTCTCAATTGTTTGGGTCAGGTTGAGTATCTGTCCTGTACATGATTTTCCTGGGCGGAAACCAGCTTGTTCTTTTATTAGTGTGCTGTCCACGAAGGGGACTAGGCGATTAAGCAGAATTCTCTCGAAAAGTTTGTACGTGTGGCACATTAGGGATATTGGACGATAGTTCTTTGGGTCATCCGTATCTTTCCCTGGTTTTAATATGGCTATAATTTTTGTTTTCCTCCATATTTTCGGTATGTTTTTCTGGTTTCTTATTTCGTTATATAAAGCGAGTATCCAGCGTTTGGCTTTCGGCCCAAAGTTGCGGATCTGTTCGAGAAAAATATTATCTAGTCCAGCTGCTTTCCTAAGTTTCATTGTCTCTATAGCTATGTTCAATTCATCCTCCTCGAAAGGCTGGCTGAAGTGATTTCCTTCCTTTTCTTTGTTTCGTATTATTCTTTTATTAGGTTTAGCTACTTGTTTGAGTTTTTGGGGTTTACCATTTAGTAGTAATTGGTGTGCGATTTGATCGGGAGTGACGTTCGACAGTCCTTTCGCGTTAGTAGGCTCACTATTTAGTCTTTTAACCTTTTTACTACTATGTTTCATGTCATATTATGTCAAATTTATATTTTATTAAATAATATTTTACACAAGTCACAAGCTTTAGACGGGTTAGGTAAAGATAACGATTCGATAAAATAAGGCAACTGCTAGACAACTAGATAAGTTATTGTGGCATATCGTATATTAGTACGAATTTCCAGATTAATTTATTAGTAGGTATTTCAGTATTTATCGTTTAGTAGGTACTTGTTCGGCATTCATGAGTGTACAGTGAAGTGTAAAAAGTGTACAGTAAAATGCCGAAATCAAAACCGCTTTTCTCGTTGTAGTAACCCGTCGCTCTCACTTGATTGGTTACTGCACACTTCTTTAACGACGAATGCACGTACACGTCGTCGCAATGAATCGGAGGATGGTGGTTGAAGTGAAGGTAGAGTAAGAATAGTTTAACACAAAATGTAGTTAATTATAGATATAATGTTTATTAACACGAAACTAATAATATAGTTAATTTTAAGTAATTTAAAATTTGTCGACAGAATAATAATTCTACCGGAGAATAGTTGTAACTTAAATTATACTTGATGTGGACGGCAATGCGGCTGTTTCTAGTCCGCGACCCACACAAGTATTGTAAAGCACTGGTAATTACTTCTATGTCTGAAAAGTCTGTGAAACAGGTCCACTATTTATATGAGACATGCCCGGGATTTAGGAAAGGATGATTGACGTCATAGGAATGGCGTGATGCGTAGTCGATCAGTATTAACCAATGAGGCGGCAGCCTCAGTGGCCTATTTTGGTGGCGTGATGTTGTTCAGGCCACCTAACCTTTGGAACGCCGTTTTTGTGTAAAAACGTCGGTTTACTACATTCCTCCCTTGTAAGAATGATACTCCGTATCATAAAGATGAAATGGTTGGATACACGGAATATTCCGTGCTCCGTGGTATTAGGGCTTCCTGCTTGATTACGTCTCTCGGCGTATGTCCGGAACTTCCTTTGGATCTTGTAGTAGAAGCACCTCACATATGGGGCGTACACTTCTAGGATGTAAAGGATATATTTCAGGACACATGAGGAAATCACTGACATGTTTACATTGACTTCTATCGATTTCGTCATAGGTGGAATACATTTCTTTTGATTTACTTATAGCTAAATACTTATGATCAGGTTTTACATATAAACAATTATTTTGGTCACAATTTGGTATTGGTATTAGGCTATTAGCTGAAAAAGAGTTAATTCATGCTGGTATACTAAAAAAATACATTTACATTAAATACAATTTTGTCATTGGAATAATATATTGTAATGTCTGAGAGATGTATGGATTATCGGATTTGTTTTTTTTTAATTTTTTCCCCACCGAGAAAAATAAAAACTTCGTAATTAAATCCTTATCTACGTTATTATTATTTTATACCTATTTATTATTTATAGACTTTATTAAAATTATCATAAGAATTAATATCCTTATTTTTTTTTTTATATGTAATTGGTTAACTTAATATGTTTTCACCTACGATAATAATATAACAATGACTAGTTTGTGACTACTTATAATAATGAAAGAAAATTGAAGGATCCTATAGATAAAAATATATATATGTTATGACACCGAAGTGTTTATAAATCGGTCTAAAAATATGTTTTTTGTATTATTTACGTGGATCCTATAGTCCTTCCTCCCCATCTTTATTGTTATATTTCCGTTGTCATCCGTAAAAAAATGTTTTTTATAAATAGTTACTGCTATATCAGTGTTTCGGAATATGTAACGGAACATCGTGCGTATGCGCTCGTAGCAGGTCAACGTTGTTAACCCTTCTAGCCTGATTGTCGAGAATTGATTAATTCGTTTTTCAATACAATATATTTTAATCTCTTTAATAGCGTTGTAATAATTCTCGGCGTTAATTGTCGTATAATGATTATTTTTAAGATTGTAGAATATTACTAATTTGTCGGTTTGTTCAATCAAAACAAATAATTTATTATTATCATTAAAAATTACCTGCTGCGGTAAATCGTTATTGTTTATTACATCTCTTATCGCTGGATGCGTTATTATTTTATCATTTGAAATAGGTAACATTATATTTTCATTATTTTGCGCGTGTTTTATACTTCCCTCTATTTCAGTTATTTTGGAATTAAAAATCGGTTTAGTTTCTGCTTTTTTAAACTCTTCGAAATCGCTAATTGGCTCATCATTGGTAACAACATGTATACGTGATAAGCAATCCGCGTTCGAATGTTGTGAGCCTGCTCTATAGATTATTTCGTAATCGTATTCCTCGAGCTGTAATCGCCATCGCATTAACTGAGACGAAACGTCTTTTATATTGAATAAATACGTTAATGGACGGTGATCGGTGATTATTTTAAATTTTTTCCCGTATAAATAAGGCCTAAAATACTTTACAGCCCATACTATCGCTAACAATTCTTTTTGTATTACGCTATAGTTTGTTTTGGCGGTATCTAGAGTTCTACTTGCGTAAGCTATGGGTTGATCTCTAGGTACGTCACCTTGAGACAAGACCGCTCCAATTGCGTATTGGCTTGCATCGGTCATGAGGTTAAAATTTCCGTTTTCCCAATTAGGGTAGATAAGTAGAGGTGGATTCATTAACGCGTTTTTTAATTCTTGGAATGCGTCTTCACACATGTCCGTCCACACGAACGGTGTGTTTTTCTTTAATAAGCTAGTAAGAGGTTTTGCTATTTTGGCAAAGTTATCAACGAATCGGCGGTAATAATTTAATAAACCTAAGAATGACTTTACGTCTTTCTCGTTTAGTGGTCTCGGATATTCTTTAATACAACTTAATTTGTTTGGATCAGGCGTTACCCCGTTTTCGCTGATCACATGCCCTAAATATAACACCTCTTTTCGTAGAAACATACATTTACTAGGTTGCAATTTCAGTTTATGTAGTCTTAATCACGTAAACACCTGCTCTAACCTATTCTGATGATCTACTAAACTTGACCCGTGGACTACAATGTCATCTAGGTACGCCGTACATAACTCTTCCAAGCCCATTAAAATAGATTTCATGGCTCGAGTAAAAGTTGCCGGCGCAGAACTAAGTCCAAATGGTAAACGTAAAAATTCATAATGCCCTGATTTTGTAGAAAAAGCTGTTTTATGGGTGTCTCCCTTATCAATCATTATTTGATGATAATCGCTGGCAAGATCAAGTGTAGAGAAGTACTTAGATGAGCCTAAGGATTCTAGTATCTCTAATATATTCGGTAAGCCGTATGCTTCATTTTCCGTAACCTCGTTTAATTTTCGGAAATCTACACATACTCGTAACTTTTGGTTACCGTTCAGATCTTTTTTCTTTTTTACTACCACTAGTGGAAAATTAAATGGTGATAACGAATTACGTATTATATTCGCGTCTTTCATTTCTTTTACTTGTTTTTCTATCTCGTCCTGATACGCGTGCGGTAGCCTATATGGACGTATGTTAATCGGTTTAACACACCTAGGTGTATTAATTTTATGCGTAACAATGTCAGTTGCACTCAGAAGATCGCCTTCGAGAAAAAATAGATCAGAAAAACGGCTACACAGGTCTAATATGTTATCGCGTTCTTCGTGATTAAGATGCTCGGTATTAATAGTTTCTTTGATCCTTTTAATTCTATTCAAAGAGTAGTTGTTGCTTTCGCTAGCAATAAAAACGTTATCGTGGTACGGTTCTACGGTACTCGTGGTTAATTGTTCGATTATAAACGGTTGTTCGGATATATTTATTATATTACTTATTATTTTATCACCTTTGACCGGACTGATACTATTAGCTATAATTACGTCTTCATTAATTTCATATTTTTTTATCGTTATTGCTTCGTAATTGATTTCTTCGTCGGCTTTTATTTGTAATACACAATTACTCCTCGGCGGAATGATTAGTGCGTTATTAATTACTTTTTCTGGATTATTAACACTTCTTTATCCCAATCCAAAACGACCTTATTTAGTTTCAAAAATGATATGCCTAATATACCTGCTTCGGGTATCGGAAAATTATCATGCACAATGTCGAATTTTACTACGAAAGGTTGTTTGTTAATATAAATTGGAATCACTACTGTTCCCACTGTCTCTACTGGACTTGCATGAATACCTTTAATTTTTTTCTTATCGTTTTCGTTCACGATTATATGCCCTTTTAAACTTGAAATTTTTATAATGTTCATTTCAGAACCGCTATCAATTAAAAATTTGATTTCGCTTTTAACAAATTTATCGGAAAAACATTTTATATGTTCCCGCGTTATAGGCGTTATTACGCGTACGTTACTTCCCGATTGTATTTCTTCGATGGATCTATTTTGATCGCTCCTATTATTTTTCTCCTCGAGTTTCTTTTTTTCATTATATTTTAATTTCCGACATTCGCTAATGTCGTGATTAGTTTTTTTACAATATTTGCAGAATTTACTAGAATATTCGCGTTTAATTTCTGTCTTCGGACTTTGACCGCTGTTCGGATTTCTAAAAGTAGGTAATTTATGTTCGCTAGTTCTACACTCGTTTGCGTAATGACCGACTCGTTCGCAACGGTGGCATTTAACCGCGCTTTTATCGTTGAACTTTTTTTTATCGAATTTATTTTTATTCTGAAACTTATTATTCCCGAACGCGTTATTATAATATTCGGAGGATTTTTTCTCCTCCATTGCGTGTAAAACTGCTACCTCGAATACCTGAATATTGCGCGCTTTTAATATAATTCCGATAGACTGTGAGACTCCCGCTATGAATACAAATGTTCATCAATCAATCATCA